ACAGTGTTGATACTTGATGTTAATTATCCCTACCAAACTAATTAAAAATGTTTATACTTGACCATGTACATTTCATGTCACCGCATATTTATTCATTTAACATGATAATGAAAGGAAAACGGTTACTTTCTCTTCCAAACCTATTAATTATTAGTTCGATATCTTTGTATTTAATAACTTACAAAAGAGAAGAAAAAAGTTCTGTTGATTTGGTCATATTTCTTCTCTTTGTGTGTGTGTAGATCAATTTCAATGGTTCTAATAATAACAATCAGATATTTGGGCTTAGCAATAATAAGCGTATGTATATATATGACTAATTAATTGTATCTACTTATGAATTATCATATTATTTCTTTTACAATATTATATCAGAGGCACAACAAATACCCAAGTTGAAAGGTGAGAGTGTAACACAGCAAGACTATTATGTCTGCTTAGACATGAATTGACTTTTTTTAATTTTTTTAAGTTGTTGAATGTGAAAAACTTGCCGTGGACGAGTATTCAAAAAACAGCAATAGAGATAGGACATTATTTTTATAGTATAATATTTCTCGTTTAATTTTATATGAAGATTTAGCTATACATACGTGCATGAGCCATCTCATTTTATGATTAATATGGTGTAAAAATTATAAATAGAAATATTAAAAGGAAAAAATATAGCGTGATCACATTATATCAATTCTAAACCTACCAATTAGGATGCAGTAACGTGTTAAGAATCTAGAGGGCCAAGACAATAACATATTTTTAATATTGTAGTTGTTGACAAAATATTGTTGCATACTTAGAACCGAAAGTGAGTTTAATCAACTTGTAGTTTATTTTATCAATAATTTTATAAATTCAAATTTTAACTGGTTACAAAGAATTAAACTTGATCTTTCATTCATTTGACCCATTACAAATAAATATTTCTTCGTTTTTTTTTGTTCACCTCAATTCACTTTCAACCCTAATAAGAATAAAACTTGTCTCTATATTATGCTGTAAGTTTTTTACATTAAAAATACTAATAAGGATATGCTAATTTAAAAATCATAGTAATGTGACCATATCAATGAAAAGATCTCAAGACATCCATAATTTTTAATTACAGATTAACATATTAGAGATAAATAAAATCTTGATTAGCTTTAACAATAAATATTTATTGATCATTGAATTGTCAATAAAGATTATGAATAACTAAAATATTATCGCATGAGGTGTTACTATCACAAGGGGTGAAATTGGGTCGGGTTGGCCCACAGGGGCCTTCGGCTCGGCTTGCGTTAGGTCAGACCTGACCTAATATATTTCGTAAAATAAGTCGGGCTTGATCCTTGAAAAAACTTGTTTAATAAATAGGCCGTATGTCCACTTTCACAAGGTCTGACCTATAAGCCTACAAGTCGACCTATATTGTAGTATTTATTTTAAATAAAATAAAATAGAATAAGTATGCCTTGAAAAAAACCAAAAAATATAAATTTAATCAATTGCAATTATTTATAACTCAATTATATTTAACTATATTTTAATAGAAATTTAACTTTATTTCTTATGTAGGAGGAACCAACATCTCAGCATATTAGATTGTGTATATAAATATATTAAAAGATTTTTGGGAGAGGTTATACTTACTACAAGCATCATGATGTGTTTGTTGAATTCATGTAATTATTTTAATTTACATGGTATGAATTTGTTTGTTGGATCTGATGAAATATATGTTATTTAGTTTGAGCATTTTACTTTCGAAAGTGACTTAATTACAGATTGTGATAAGTTTTGTTAAGATTCATGATTCTGTTCGGACATTGAAATTGTGATTTTTGGTTTAGCAACAAAATTTAATATTTTGTGAAGTTGATTCATGGTTTTGTTTGGAAATTAAAAATTAACAGGCTAGGCCAGACCATTTGTTTTTTTATAAACGAGCCAAGTCATGCTAACAGTTAGACTCATACTAGGCTTGGGTCAGGCTAAATTGAAATTTTTTAACATATGGTTGATCTTTTTGGGACAAAGCTTGACCTAGCCTAGCCCACTTTCACCCCTAACTACCACCAATAGAAACGTGTTGATGAGGGGATAATTAACATCACATTTAGGGAGTATTTGGTAGAAAATAAATTTTATTTTATCCGAGAATCACAATTCCTGAAAATATAATAAAAAAGTGAATTTTTCATAAATATTATCAAAAAATTATTTGATAAGCCAAAATATTATCGAGAATATTGGCTTAAGTTTAGTCTATATTTTTTATTTTTCTGGAAAAGTGAGAATACCACCTCTGGATGTTATTTTTGAATGGTATATTGTTTATATTTTACTTACAAAACGGAATCTCGAAAAAATCACATTCCCAAAAAAAAAAATTCAGAAATTTTATACTAAACATAGATAAATTAAATTATCATCCTCACTTTTTTGAAAATTTAAAAATAAACCCTCTGCCAAATATCCTTAAGCTAGTTTGAGACAACCAATTTGTGATTGTATTTTCTTAAAGTAAATTTTAGAAGAAGAAATATTATTTTTATTAAAAAGAAAACCGTGTTCAGTATATATAAAATAAAGATTATATTATTTTACTATTCAAGATATCAGCATCAGATAAATTTTTCCTCTTTAATATTTCAAGCTGCTTTCGCGCCCACCGTGGAAAATTAACTCTATAAGATGAATGAATCTGAATGACTCCCTGCAACTTTCGAGTTGATTAAGTAATGTAAATTTTCAATCTATGATAAAAAAAAATTATATTTATTTTCGAAATATTATTTTCTAATATTAATTTTTATATCAATCTACCTATATTACGTAGATAATTCGGTGATGATTAATTTTTCTCTGTAATTTGTTTCAATAAAAGTTGCTTTGGTCAGATAAAGAAAGTTAATTTTGGATAAATCATACATATTTGATATTTAGTATTAGTTGGAAAATTATTTATAATCAATTATTATTTTCATATACACTCAAAAAAAATTAAGTTTAATCTTTATACACTGTTAATGTAAAAGAATTTTATAATATTATTTAATAATATATTGTCACATCAAATAATGATGTGCCAAAATCGCTGAATAATATAACATATTTTTAAATATCAATATAAAATTATTATTATTATTTTTTTTTTTTTGTAAATATATAAAATTATTTTACATTAACAATATATCCAAATTATTTTTTAAAACTAGCTTTTGAATATATTTCATTTTTTGATCTTGTACATAATTCTCTTTTGATAATTAGTCTCTTACGGTACTCGATCATATTGCCAAATAAACCAACCCTCAATATTTAATCACAAGCAATACTTTTAGCCAAAGTCATCTCACCCAACTTCATCCATTCAAATTTATAATCATACAAATTTAAGTTTTTATTTTTCAAATACTCTAAGTACAGTAAAAATTAAATGACTTAATTTAATTAGAAAATATTAATTGTGCATCAAAGATTCTAAAATAAGTTAATTTAACTTTTGAAAAGTTTTTACATAACCTTATAACTATTAAAAAAAAATCAATTAACGACCAAAAAAATATTTTTCAATAAAATAATTTAATCATTTTAAAAGTGTCATTAATTATCTAATTCACTGATAAATTGAATACTTTGACACTAATAATTCATAAATTAATTTTTTGTATGATAACTCAATTCCTAAAAATTATTATTAATTAAAAGGTGATACAATAAATTTTAGGGAAAATTTCACTTTCACCCTTGTGATTACATCGTGTATCACCAAAATATAACTCATTTTGATTTAAATATGTACCGCTTAACACACTAAATGCAAAAAAAAAAAAAATTTATTATACAAAATGTCAAAATTATTTTTAATAAAATGTCAAAATATCCCTAATTAAAAAAAATACAATAATATTATATACATTCAAATAAATAAAATAAATTAATTTTTTATGATAAAATTACATATAAATTATACATAGATTAGATTAACCTAAAAATTAATTAATTAATTAAAATTAATCGTTGAGAGAGGCATTAAACATAAATGAAATATAAATACAACTATTTTTAATATTTTATAAACCAAACAAAGTAAATAATATAATAATATTATTATTAAATAATAATAATAATATATTACGAAATTACAATAACAACAATAATTTTAAGTTTTAAATATAAAATCTTACGCACGTTGAGATTTCATACTAAATATAATGATCTTAAATATAAATCCTATTCATTAATTTTACTATTTTAACTTACAACATGATAATACTTTTTTTAATTATTTCGCAGACAAACTCTTTCATATGTATTACATTATTCAATTTATTGTTTACATAAAATATTACATGAATATACTACAGAAACAAAATATTATGCAAGATAAAATAATATTTATTTGAAAATTTATTATATAAAATAATTATTTCAAAACCTTAAAAAATTGAATTTAACTTTTTTAATTGATTGAAGAAAGATAAAATAATATTTTTTTAAAAAAATAAACCTTTAATATGTTATTTGAGATTTTTGTAAAACATCTACCCTTTCACAGTTTCATGTAACACCTTTTCCTTTATTAGCAGAAAGAATGAGAAATGTTGTTATATTGTTATATATCATGTTAGTATATATGTTACCCTGATGAACAGGACTTTGCAAAGATTAATTATCGGCTAATAATAGTCCATCCAGATAACCAGCAGCATAGTCTGATCCAAAATCATCTCGAATTCCGCATCAACTAAATTAATCTCCCAGTTACCCATAAGAACAAAACACTAAAGATGGAATATTCAAAAAAAAAAAAAAAAACACTAAAGATGGGTTGAAAGTTGAAACAACTGTTGTAAGACTTAAAATTGAAAACGTATACTTATCCACTATTCTGTCAACCACGTGTGCCAAGTAATTAATTACCTTTTACCCGATATAGTAGCCACTACTAAAGGCCTATATATACACTTTGCAACCACTCGGCCTCACACACCAAACCCCAATATTGAGTTGACACCTTAACTAGTTAATCGCACACCATAATATCCCTGCCCGTTTTTTTTGTTTCTTTCTTTCTTTCTTGTGTTTTGCAGGGACAAGACATGGGTTCCATGGGTAACCACGAGGTTGATGATAAGCATCATAGGGTTAACTTCTCAACCCAAAGAGGGTTTTTAACAAAACTCAAAACTGGGTTGAAAGAAACGTTCTTCCCTGATGATCCCTTCAGGCAATTTAAGAACGAGAAGAAGACATCACGAAGGTTCATCAAAGGGGTGCAATACTTCGTCCCAATCTTCGAGTGGCTACCAAATTACAATTTCCGCCTCTTTTTCTCTGACTTAATCGCTGGCATCACCATCACAAGCCTTGCCATCCCTCAAGGCATTAGCTATGCCAAACTTGCCAACATTCCTCCCCTCATTGGCCTTTGTAAGAAACTAATCACTTTATTATAGTCCAATTTTCTTCTCTTCTTCTTTAATTTCTTTATTCATTCCTTACATCATTTTTTTTCAACTGTTTCGTTGGAAACTCAATTGCTGAATCAATGATTATAGTTCATATATACACTATTTTCGTTGTTGCAAGATCCAATTCAAGTGAACTTTACAAAAAAAAAAAAAAAAATAGGCATATATATATACATGGTACAAGTTATATTACAAACTTTTTTGTTTACAAACTCTTACAAACTACGCTATCTTCTTCTAGGAGAACACTAGTCAGATTATCTTCTCCGGAAGAACATAGTGCAATTTGCAAAAATTTGTATATATGAAAAAAATAATTTTTTTATACTCACATAAAAGGTGGATGGACTCTCTGAGCTGTGAGCAGAGGATAGAGAAACACACGAAATGAATGACATCTATTTTTATAGGAGATAAAATTATCTCAATTTTCAAAAAAAATATTAATCCTATATAATTCTTTTTTCTCATGCTATAGTATAATTCTTTTTTCTACTATAAAATCTTGTATTTAGGGCCCCACTATTTATTAAAAATAAAATAAAAAATTATTACACATAATTCGATATCTCTTTAGTATAGCAGAAAGTATTATCTTATAATATGAGAATTTTTTTCCATATATATATATAATTTGAAAATTAGGATTAATATTTTTTGATCATCACTTTGTTTAATCTCATGGATCAAATTCATTGCATATAATCTATATGGATAGACGGTTACTTCCTTAAACATTGTTCATTGTGATGATGATAAAGACAAACTAGATATTTGATTCTGGGTCCTCTTTTAATGGTGAATGGTTAGCCTTTAACTGAAGAATTAATAATATATATTTTGGTTTGATGTTTGGTGATTGTAATATATATCAGATTCCAGCTTTGTCCCACCTCTTGTGTATGCTGTTTTTGGGAGCTCAAGGCACATGGCAGTGGGAACAATAGCGGCAGCATCATTGCTGATAGGACACACTATATCAACCGTGGCAGACCCAGAAGATGACCCAACGTTGTTTCTTCATTTGATTTTCACAACAACTTTTGTCACAGGTGTTTTCCAAGCTTGTTTGGGTATTTTCAGGTGAGAAAAAGAGGTGATAAGTCGTTTTCCTTAAACCAACACTCTGATGTTGATCATCATCAGTGATTCGGTTTTGGATGTGTTTGGCTTGGCACCTAGAAAATAAGATAAAACAAAAGAAAAAGTAGCTAGCTAATGCAACTCAATTATTTTCATTCTATTTTTGTGGTGAGTGTTGAGAATGAGAAAATCACTTTTTATTTATTTATTGCAGGTTGGGGATATTGGTGGATTTCTTTTCACATGCTACAATCACTGGCTTTATGGGAGGGACAGCAGTAATTCTCATACTCCAACAACTAAAGGGCATATTTGGCATGAAACATTTTTCAACCAAAACAAACGTTGTGGCAGTCATAAAGGCCATCTTCGACAATAAACATGAGGTTAGTATGGAACAAATCACAGCTTTTTTTTTTTTTTTTTTTGGTTTCTTGACTCTTCAAAACAATAACAGATTCACGCACATACAAATAGTCAAATACAATTAAGCGTGTAAATGAGCTGGGTTGGGTCGGGCTTTGGCCTTCTTGGTCCAAGCCTACGTCAAAAAAAATTCAGCATATTTGGTCTACTGACCTATTAAAGGCTTTATTTGTAAGCCAAGCCCGTCCTATTTTTAAAAATAAGAAAGCCTGACATGGCCTACTGGCCTCCCACGGTAGATACTAGCAAAAAATAATAATTGTATAGAGCAAAGAAAGTTCCATTCATGCATGCATTAGTACTTCTCATAAGAAAGAGTCAACATAATATCTCAACTCTAGAATGTATATCATAGAGGAATAGAGTCAAAGAAATGGGAAAAATAAGAAAAATACAATTACTGGATTCTGAAATAAAGTCTACAAGAGAATGTCATTCATCTAAACTAAATATTATTTTATTATTTTATTTTAATAAATTAAGTAGGTCGGGCTTGACAAAATTGGCCTATGGCCTATTTGTTAAAAAACTTTTTTATAAGGCTAAGCCTACTCTACTTTTCTAAAAGACCGGGCCTGGACCGGACTCAATGTAGGCCGGGCCGGGCTAGCCTGGCCCATTGACACCCCTAAATACAATAAATTAATGTTTATTCATGTGTTAAGGAAGTTGGTAATTAATATAAGAGAAATTTTCTGTTAAATAACAAAATATTTAATTAAACATATTTTTAAAGGTTAATTATAAAATAACTCAAAATTTAAAAATTACAAGGATAAAACTTAATCAAAAAAATAAGAAATTTTTTTAATTACAATTAAAACAATATAATATGTTCAAAATACGTCTTAATTTTTTGTTTGATGGACCACAAATATGTTTGAGACCAAATTTCTTCAATCATCCCGTTAAATACTTGGCCCATTCTTAATGGGCGACTTTATGTGCATAAAAAACTTTGTTATATTTATATTTCCAACAAAATACATGAATAAATATTGATCACTAAATATTAAGGGTATTCTGGTACTCTCGAAAAAGACAAATTACCGTAAAACCTCTTTATAAACTGTTGCTTTATTTATTTAATCAAATCTAGCTAGTAACGCTAGGACACGACAAATCATATAGAATATTATAACATGCATGGCTTTTATGCAACTCGAAGACTTGACCAAGTTGTCAGTAATCTCTTTTTCTTTTGCTTTTTTTTTTTTTTCATTTGTTTCATCAAAACAAATGTGAAAGGATTCCCTCTTTTTGCAGTTGCCACAGAAAATAAAATTTTATAGCAGATACAAAAAAATGGAATTCACTTTTTTTTTTTTCAAAAATGCCAAGATCCAATCTGGTAAATATGTATGTGCTGTAAAAGAATTCTTTTTTCAGCAACACGAGAAGTATAATTGCCAATGTTAAAATATATTTACCCTTTTACATATTAACAATGGGTTTTATAATTCTTATGTTGAAGGAGAATTGAAATCTCATATTGTAGAGATAAAAAGTATGTGGGACCCATATGTTAGAAAAAATTATATGTAGGACTCATGTCAGTACGAAAATTGAAGGGTGCGTAGGAAAATTGCAATTCTCATGTTAAATGAGAATTATAAAACCCATTAACAATTGTTCCATATTTTGGAAATAACGTGTATGAGCTTCTTTTTTATTTATTTATTTAACAGATAAGGTGGGAAACCACAGTTCTTGGTGTGGTCTTCATTGTTTTCCTGCAAATTACCCGATACGTGGTGAGTGCTCTTTTCGGCAGTTTATAGTCATTCTCAACTTTCGCTTTTTAATATATTAATTTTGTTAAGAACAAAGAATGGTGGCGTGCGAAGATTTTTTAGTGCACCACTGAAACTAGTGGACCATTAGGATTTTGAAGTCCACAATCTATGAATAAAATAATTGCACGAGTACTAAGAGAAAAGTCAAGTCAATGACATAGAAAATGTACCATTTACGGGGACTATGTTTATAAATTTTTGTAAATTATATTATGTATTATTAGAAGCACATAATGTACTTCCGGAAGTATATAGTATAGTTTGTAAGTGTTTATAAATAAAAAGTTTATAAATATAATACTCTTCATATTTCACCAAGTTATGATATTTTTTAAAAGGGAAGAATCTGTTTACAAACTCTTTTTTTTACAAACTTATAAATTACACTATGTCTGACCGGTAATACTCTACTTAAGAGTATATTATCGGTCAGACATAATGTAGTTTGTAAGAGTTTGCAAATAAAAAATTTGTAAATATGACTTTCCTTTTGTTAAATTAATGGGTTTTTATAAGAGTTATGTTGTAGGAAAAGTGATTGTGTAATGTTATAAAGATTCGTTTTGCGTGCCTTAGTTTTTTTTTTTTTTTTGCTTTAGAAAGTGTGGGCCCTACAAAATATTGTGTGTAAGAAAATTTTTGATGTCATGTGACGTGATAGATGCAAACTCCTAAATTAATACGTGTGTATCAAAGTTATTCTAATGGGTTTCTCTTGATTTTCAAAACAATCTTACAGAGGACTAGGAAACCAAAACTCTTTTGGGTATCAGCTATTGCTCCTATGACGACTGTAGTAGTTGCTGGCGTTTTCACGTACCTCGTCAAGGGCCAAAATCATGGAATTCAAATTGTAAGTTATACATAACTAGTCCTTTTCAGTTAATAGTATCTAACTTGTATATGCCAAAACTCTGTTTTGTTCTTATATATGAACTCTGCTATTTATAGGTGGGTCATCTAGATAAAGGATTAAATCCTTTGTCCATAAAGTATTTCAACTTTGAAAGTGAATATTTACCAGCAGTGTTGAAAGCTGGCATTATCACCGGCATCTTGTCATTGGCTGTAAGGAATTAGAATCTCTATCTATCTATATACATATCCATCATCATAATCAACATTTTGTCAATTAATTTATCTTTTGTATATGTAGGAAGGAATAGCAATTGGAAGAAGCTTTTCTGTTATTGATAATACACCTCATGATGGGAACAAAGAGATGATAGCTTTTGGTCTCATGAACTTATTTGGTTCTTTTACTTCATGTTACTTGACTAGTGGTAAGTTTTTATTCACATAATAAAGTTTGACACAATCTTTTACCTTATTTAAGGAAAAAAATTAAAGTGTTTATGCTAATATATTTGGTCCCTAAATCTAATTTGTAGGACCATTTTCCAAGACGGCTGTGAATTACAATGCAGGGTGTAAAACTGCCATGTCAAACGTAGTAATGGCAATTTTAATGGCGCTCACACTGCAGTTTTTGGCACCATTATTTGGCTACACCCCTCTTGTTGCTCTATCAGCTATTATTATATCTGCCATGATGGGGCTGATTAATTATGAAGAAGTTATTCATCTCTTTAAAGTTGATATGTTTGATTTTATTATTTGCATGGCTGCTTTCTTTGGAGTCACCTTTATAAGCATGGATGTTGGTCTCATGATGTCTGTGAGTACTCAAGTTTTTTCTAATTTCTCTGTTCAGTCATTTGTTTTTTTATTAATAGAATTCAATTTACTTAATTTTGGTAAAAAAACAAAGTGTGACTTAATTATTCTACGTGCAATCAAGGTTGGACTCAGTGTGGTTAGAGCACTCTTATATGTAGCTAGACCTGCCACATGCAAGATTGGAAAGTTATCTGATTTAGGTGTATATCGAGATGTTGAGCAATATACTGCTTCAACATTCCCTGGAGTTCTAATAATAGAACTTGGTTCTCCCGTTTACTTTGCAAATTCTGTGTACATTAAAGAAAGGTATACAATATTTTAGATTCACTTATTAATAGTCACTGACAAATTATATATCCTTGATGCATCCCAATTGAACAATCTAAATTTCTATTTGAAAATCTGCATTTAGGATAATGAGGTATATTCGAAGTGAGCAAGGCTCTAGTGGAGATATTGTTGAGCACATCATACTCGATTTGTCAGGTAAAAGATAGAAAATTCTTTACAATGTTGAGAATTGAAAGAAAAAAAAATTATGGTTGTTATATAATCAAATTAACATGGATATAAAGTTTTCCCTGATTTCTTCTGCTTATACAGGAGTGACATCCATTGATACAACAGCAATTGTGGGATTGTTGGAAACAAATAGAATGTTGGAAAAGAATGGAATTAAGGTACAACATGGATTTTCAAGTCGATGGAGTAGACCCTCCAAGTTTATTTATGGAAATAAATCGATTTAAATGATTTATGTTTGTTTTTCATATTGTGTAGATGTCATTGGTAAACCCAAGGCTGGAGGTTATGGAGAAGCTGATAGCAGCAAAGTTTGTTGACATCATTGGGAAGGAATCATTCTATCTAACATTGGATGATGCAGTGGTGTCAAGTCAATATTCACTTAGTACCTCGAAGACAAATAATGCTGAAGAGACAGTAGTTAAGGAAACTAGCCATGCCTAAAGTACAGCAAACAAAATTAGGTTGTACATTGCTTTCCAATGGCCTGAACAATAACGTTATATATATATGGAATGGAGAAAGTGTTTGCTAATGACTTCTCCTATTCTTAAAAATTACAAACCCCAAGGGATGGCTATAGTAAGCGGTTTGTGAGAGGACTGTTATGATTAAAAAGTCGCTGGTTCAATTTCTAGACGAAGTATTTTGAAGTTAATGATAAAAAATTTCATGTTCTACACCAGGAAGGGAATTAGTCTCATCTTAGAACAAGTTCATGCGGATCAAGCAACTCTCTTAGCATGACATGTTTTAGATTAATTTCCTAAATATCGATATCAATAACAAAAATACAGTGGACCTTTAACAAAAATACAGGTTTTAGATTAATTTAAGGGAAAACATTTTCTCCTTTTAAAAGAGAAAATTTTTCTCTTCCCAAAGACTCATAGCATAAGTAGGTCCCACTTAAATTTTTTTTTTCTCTTCACTATTTTGTAGGCCCCACTTATACTATATGTCTTTGGTAGGAGAAAATGTTTTCCCTTAATTTTAATATATTACCATTGTACCTATATCCACCCAATTAATATACAGCATCTATATAAACATGTTTCTTGAAAAGAGACAAAAAGAAAATTATACTTATGTTTTTGTAATTTCATTTTGAATGGGAGTCGTACCTAATACTTAATGCAACAGTAATACCAAAGATGTCCTCCAAGAAAGGAGAAATGAGCTATCAACAATCTTAATAATAAGTTCTTCTGAGCTTGAGAAGTACAAATCATTACCATCATAACTCATATATTCTTAGATTCTTATTCCCTAATCATGATATATACACGGGTAGAATAAACTTAAATCGATATAAAAACAATAAATTTTACTTTTCAATCTTACTCGTTCATCTCATTTTATATCTAATGATTCTTATAAATCAGTGTAATACTTGCATATATACATAGAGAGAGATTGTGATTTTCACTTTCCACACCAAAAGGGAACCCTTTATTGGTTCAAAAGGCATACCAGAGATGGAAAGGGAATTCAATCAGTTTTTTAAGTGCTAAAGGTCGTGTTGGCTCTACAAAGCATGCAATGGGTGGGATGTTGCATTAAATTATATAGTAGCTTCTCCAAATAAATTTTACATAATAAAAAGTAATACTGCCGGAAAACACAAGCTTGCAGTTCAAATCAAGGTAGTCAATTTAAACATGGGAAAGTAAAAACAACACGCAAGTTGTGCAAGTGAATTAAAAGCAAGACATGGAAGGGTTGAGTTGAAGGAAGAGCAAAACGCTTAGCTCACCGAAGAGTGAAACCAGAAGGTCCTCAATTGTACCAATAAAGACAAGAGAATGAAGCTTAGTGGGTCCATAAATCTCCCACCTCTTCATTATTTGATTCTTGTGGCTGAAGCTTCGATTGATCAAGTGAAGTCAATTAAATTCAAAAAAAAAAAAACTTGGACAGCTTTTGCATAAGTTATGGACATAAAGTTAGTTTACCCAAGTCCAAAATTTGCTTTTGTAAGAATTTGGTCACAATAAGGCTTCTGACACTAGTTTTCGTTTTGGCATACCTATGACTCAAGATATGTTGTGCAGACTAGTCTCATTCCCACTGCTGTTGTGATGATCTTTAAAAGCCTTAAGGGGGGGTTTGTTTCAGGTTTTTGAAGAGGATTACCGGTAATCCTTCTTTGGTAAATGTAATTACCACGTTTGGTAGAAGGAATAAATTACGATTCCCGGATATCCAAGGATTACCGGTAATTTGATTTATAAAGAAAAGTCACTATTCAGATTACCAAAAATAATATGGTAATTCGGAATACCAATCAGAATACCAAGTAAAAGGAAAGCACAATAATAAATTTTAAGACAAAAATACCCCAATACACATAAAAATCTAGACCCAATTTATCAATTACAAAAGTAAAAATAGTTTGGGGTTATTTTTGTAAAATAACCTCATATTCCAAGTCATATTTCGTTCTAAACCAAATATGGAATTAGTAATTTTTACCCAATATTCCCGGTAATATTTTGGCGAACCAAACACCTCTTTCGTAAGATTCCAGGTAAACTCAATTTCTACTGAATTCCCATTAATCATGATTCCCGGTCACCAAAAAATTTCTCTTGTACCAAACACACCCCAAAGGGAATTTTGTTTATGGAAGTACAATAATGGACCACATGAAGTATCACTTAGTTGCGAGGAATGATATGTGTCCGTAAGCTAGAGGGAGGCTTTCTATTATTTAAACGAAGTTCAGTGCGTGATATTATTTTAATATTTTATAAAATTAGTTTTTTTTTTGTTCCATAGAATCATGTCTGGAATATAAATTGGCAGAAATAAGAAAATAAATACACACTCTATCTCTTTAAAACAAATTTGAATCGAAATTATCTCTTTCTAAATATATAAGAATAAGGTTGTCTACATAAAATTATTCTCACCCTTATCCTCATGGAGTTTTAAAAAAAGAATGATTTGTATTCCAAGCATATATTTATGGGTTTCTCATTTTTGCTGTCAATGTAGACGAGACAAATTGCAACAAACATATTTACATTAAAATATGGAATTGCATCTTGAAATAAAAAAAAAATTCTAGAATACAGACCTGAATTCTAGTAAAAATAAATATTCCTGCAAATTTTTTGATCTACGGCAACAACAGACATTTATTTAATAAAAGTTTGATTGTTCATATTCAAATAGGCCGAGAAGTTTTTTTGTCGTTGGAGCCCAAAGCATATACCCCTGCTCCCTAGGCCCTAATCTGTCAAAGTTCACCTTTCAGGTTCGAGCATTAAGGTGTTGTTTATTTATTAGAAAATCAAATAAAACGAACCTGTCTACTGTTTGCACCATGGTATTTAAAATTCTGATTTAAATTTATGTTTTTACAATTTTTTATCCTTATTTAGATTTGAGGTAAAATCTGTTTACACTATTTCGGTTCATTTTCAATTCTTTATGCTTTGTCACTGTACTTCGCTGCGAAAACACACCCTTAAAACGGTTATTCTATCTTTATCACACCTTTAAGTACTGTATTCTCCAAGCTCCAGAGATAGTAGCTCGTTATTTCTCGATTCCTTTCCGTTTGGTTATTGAGAAAATTTAGAAAAGAAAGCACATGCTTCTTCGTGCCGCTTCCACTGTTTTCGCGCTTAAAATTTCAAACGGATTGTGGTTTCAAACTAGGGAATCGATTCTGTTTTTTAAGCTTCTAACCTAGCTTATGTTTGTAATTTTTTACTATTGTTGTTTGATTTTGCTTTTTAATGCTTCGTATTGTTTGTGTTGTTGTTGATTGGTGAATTTGCAGAGACTAAAAATCAAAGTTCCTGCTACTTACGATTTTCAAGCCTGTGATTTTGTTACTTGATTTTTTTGATTCAAACTAACAGCAATTGTTACTTATCAGATAAAGCTCGAGCAAAGATTGGAGAGAGGGAAATCAGTGCATGTTCATCAAGCTGAACCATGGTACTGTCTGATTGTGTCTGTCTTGCATAAAAATTTCAGTTGCTTTAATCTGATATTCTTTATAAAACCTTGACGTAGGATCATTAACAGGTGATTTTAATTTATCATATATTGTTCTTTTTTAAGCTCCAAATTAGCATTTAACTAAATATAGCACTGCCATCTTCGGGAACTTTTTTCCCACTCTTGTAACACAAAGAGGGAATAGAGGGCTTCATACCTGCTAACCGCTAGTGCATGCATGTATTTTTGTGTGTGTGTGTGTGTGTGGGGGGGGGGGGGGGGGGGATGTGTGAAATAGAACATTTTGTTTGCTAGTATTGGAGAGAGGATTTTAATTTCCTTTTGGACTTGTAAATTTGATGAATCCTATCAGAAGAAAATAAATTCTGGGTAAAAAAAGGAACAGGTTGGAGTGCATTCTGTGAGAAGTGCAAGATTAGGACAATAATACATTTTGCAATAATTGGATCAGTGGTGCAGGGGCCTTGATGAGTGTGTTAGGTCAAGAATATCAATGCCTAGCATTGTTTCGTTGATGTTTTCTTTTCTCTATTTTTGTTGTTTTTCATTTTTATGGAGGATCTCTTATCCTCCTAATCCTTTGCAATCATCTTCTCTTTATCTTGTTGAGTTTCTTCATATGTGACATGTTGATCATTTTATTTTAATTGCCTTGAACTAGTTATATGGTTTCATGTATGGTGATATTTTGTAAACATGTTTGGCTAAGTTCCCCTGACCCAAATTTTACATTGGACGCCCACCCGAAAGGGGTAAGTTGTGTTGATTACTTTACTGGTGGGGATAAGCGTTATCTAATTACTGGATCTGATGATCATACAGCTAAAGTAGAGCCTATTTGATATATTATTTGTACTTGCAACTTTTAGTTGGGCATTGCTAACCTTCCGCTGAACAGGTGTGGGACTACCAAACCAAAAGCTGTGTTCAGACGCTTGAAGGACATGCAACATATTGTATCTGCGGTATGTTTTCATCCTGAACTTCCCAATCCCATAATATTGACTGGTTCTTAGGATGGGACAGTTTGAATATGGAATGCAACAACTTATAGCTACTCCTTTCAGTGGATGCTAGGATTTATTTATCTTTGATAAACTTTTCATGTAAATAAATAAACCCCCTTTAGCTTCGCTCAACAGCATGATTACGGTTAGCTATCATTGCTGGTTATATGACTTCTTTACTCACTTGTTCAGTATAGTGCTCCAACATTTATCGTATCTTTGCTCATGATTTACTCATACCTCATTCATGTTCATCTTGATGTTCATGTCATCCAAAGTGCCTTAAACCTCTCTCGAAGTTTAATGACTATAGACCTTGCATGCTGATTTTCTTGTGTGGAATACTTTCCAGTCTTTTGTGTTCCTTCAATGATGAGGTTTTAAATTTGACAATAATGGTTGCTTTGCCGCTTTAGTATCTTGTTTTACATTCATTCACATTGAGTTTATAGGTTCCCATCAATCATACAAAGTGCTAGTTCATATGATAACATATTGTTCTTTATGGAGTGTATTTGATCAAATAATTGACTCCACTTTGCAGGCTTGAAAACACACTGAATTATGAACTAGAGAGAGTTTGGGCTGTTAGATATGTGAAAGGTTCTCCTTGGTAAGCATTTTCGCAGACTTTCTTTATTGATTTCTATTTGAAAGGTATAAGATATTGCTCAGCTGTAATTTTGAAGGCACACATGACGTTAACAGAGATATAGAATATGAACTCATAGCATACTTGAAATGTTTGTTTCTCGACTTATTAAAAAAAATATTATGCTTTTGAGTTTTAGTTGAGTGTGCTCTTT